GTGAGTTTAGTGCCACATTATGGTTCAGGCAGCTTGTTTATACAATGGATATCTACCCTGCACAGATTAAAACAATTTGGTGAACCAACACCAAAGTGGTTTTCTTGTGTAGTGCAGCAATCACAATGGCCAGAGACAGATTAACACAAGCCTTCCAGACACCTCACCGCCTCACTGACTTCAGATGCTTCTTAATTCCTCCTTCCCAAGTGATTCTCATAAGGATATGCAACAAGAACATCTTTTCTGTTAGTGATCCTGTACAACACAGTGAAGCGCTACACTCTGAATTATACACCAAACACTGTACAACATTCATCTTCACCTGCAGGAGCTCAAAACAAACTCAGACATGAAGAAAACAATCAGTAAAGGAATGTGACTGGAGTTTGTGTATTTAGTCAATACCTTGCAGTGCATTTCCCTTAATACAGCTGGAGGCAGCTGTAAGGCTTTGATGATAGTAATACAGTATAAGACTTCAGCATCTCTTACTGGCTCAATGTCTTAGAAATGCAAGTAATAATATCCTGAGTCTTTCCTCTGTATCTTCAAGGTTAGGCACAGGAACACTCCAAACACCCCACACAGAAATGTGTGCAAAGATTCTGCTTATGCATTAACTCTTTTTCAAATACTTATTTTAGAGAACTGAAATTTTAGGCTCATCTCTTGCAAGTATTTGACTGACACAGGTGAAGCTTTACAGCATGACCACTTTCTGCGAGTGCCTTCAGTTAAACAGTGCAGAGGGGACACATCCTCAGGCAGAACCCTGCAAGGGATTAAAACCAATGCACTTGTTTCCTGGGACTTCTTTCCTCAAAGGTTTTCTAATCTATCTTTTAGTTTTCCATGTTGCACTGACAAATAGCACCTTTAATTTCAAAAAAGAAAGGTTTTTTTGCTTCCACATCCTTGGTGAGAAAATAAAAATCTTTCAAGATCTGAACTGTCTTCACAGAAACCTTTAGCAAAATATAGCAAAGAATTATTAAGTGTACTAAGAAAAGTTGTACTTAGAGATCATAAACAGCCCTTTGTGCAAGAAAGAGTCTGACATAAATTGGCTATAGACTGGAGGTGACCGTGTGAATCTGAGTGAGGACACTTTAACAGATCTGTGTGTGGCACTGCCATATTTGCTGCAGTGAGAAACAGAGCTCCAAAAGAACTGGTCTTTGATGACAGAGGTTGTCTTGCATAAATGTTTATTCTGTTAGATACACACTAGCCTTTAATAGCTTGTCTTTCTCACAGTAGGTGACAGAAAGCAGGAAAAGGCCAGCTGCTTCAAAAAATTACCATATATTAAGGTATCTAGTGTTGAAGAGGAAAAAAAAACGGTATTTGTAGCATACAGTTTGAATGTGCCTAAGAGTTCTGCAGGCTGTTCTATTAGAATCTCAGAGGTCCATGGGTTTGCCCAGGTGCATAAAGCTAACTGTATGAGTAACAGCTTTCAGGGCATATGCATACTGAGGGACACCAATGCCAGAGTTCCTGTATATCCATGCAGTACACACCCCCTTTAACACAGCGTACCTAGAACTTGCATCTTGGAATGGTGTTCTTCAAGCTAATCCAGAACTTCAACAAGGAAAAAAATATTTTAAATTCAGTCAGGTTTGGAATTATCACTCAGTCATCCTGGGCACCTCTTTCCTCCTTTCCTTCCTTCCTGCATCCTTTATTACTCCTTTTTCATGCATCTCCATCCACCAGTCTTCTGTCACTAGGAAAATACAGCTAAATTTTCTCAGCCTATTTTGTTTTAACACAGCCAGAATCTAACTTAGCATCAAGCTAAGCAACTGGAAATGGACAGGAGCAGACATTTCAAAAGCTGCTCCTCAGTTTCATTGCATGTTCTTGAAATGGCCTAAGTCACACTATGTAAGGCTACTGTTATCTGAGACTGTTTAATACAGGAATGATTAAGTAAAACTGAATTTACTTTGTAACTAGCTTAGCCCTTCAAACTCTTGAGTCATCTGAGGCCAGATTCCTTTCAAGAACAGGGAAGAAAGAAACTTGACAGTAATTTTAAACTGTCGACTTTGTTCTAAACCTCTCATTACAGCCATTGCATGTTATTGTTTTTTTAAAAAAACACCACCATAATTGAGTCTATTCCTGGCTCAACCACCAACTCAGCCTGACCTTGGGCAAGACACTTGGCTTCTTTGAGCTTCAGTTTGTGCAGCTGTAGAATTGAATAAAAAATTTAAACTTAACAAAGAACCAGAAGCTGAGGTTTTCTGGGATGCAAAATAAAGCCAAAATAAAGTGAACACTAAAATAGTTGCTTGGAAAAAAAGTAACCTCTACATCAGAGCTCGAATTCCTAAGCCTATTAACAGTAGATTCAGGAGAATTCCTTAAACAAAATGTCATATATACCAAACCCCAAGCACTCAGTAAGCCCTTAGATGCAGGCTAGCTCACTAATTTTGGTTAAACATTCTGATTATTTCACGTGGATCAGTTCCAACCAAGTATTACAAGTATTAAAGCTCATGGCTGCTGATGTGAAAAGGAACAGGTAAACAGCAATTTATAGCTACAAAATACTGGAGAGACTGATCATTGCAGACCCAGGCCAGCATCTGGAGCAATCCCTGGCTTTGATGAGATACTCCTAAAGGAACTCTAGGAACACCATTTGACCTCCTCTGTCTCTGTAACACAGCTTACCTTCTCTCAAGACCGTGATACATGAAGAGTACCCTAATTCACAGGAAGGCTACAACTCTACCTCTCCCAATAATTTTGGCAAGTTTGCTATCTATGAATGAACAGGATGGCTATGGGTTCACCTGACATAATGGAAACATTAAGGCATGATTTAAAACTCCATCGGGCATATGACTTTTCTTTCCAGGAATACTGGGAGAAAGGTAGCAGAAGGAAACCTTTAAAATACCAGTAAGTATGTGAAAAGATATCAGCAGCATTAACACTTCCATAAAGTGAACCACTTTAATACTAAAGAATAAATAAAATCTTACCAAATTAAGTGATTACTAAACTTTCTGAATTTAAACCATCAAGCCTGAATTTGCCATAGCATATCACAATATCTGAGCACAGGCTTTAGTATGTTACTGTAAAAAGAAGACCATTTCATCTGCTGAGTATCAACATTTTAAACCCTAAAGGAGGTTTACAGGCTTTTATTCGCACTTTATTCTCTACAAGACTACAAAACTTCTTGTGCAAAAAAAAAAAAACCAAACCAAAACAGGCAAAAGACTATGGTTTAGGTGTTTTAGATACTACTTGGTGTGTTTTCTGCCCTGTTTGGCTTTAAGAGGCCGTCATACTCTTCTGAGTAGAGATACCTAGCAGGTGAATACAACTAACCTCCCACATACCACCAGAGAAGGCACCAAAGCACAAGTGTTCCCAAGTCCCTGCTCTGCTTTGTGTGGGCCATGGTGTGATGGATATGCAGTGCAGCCTGCATGGACAATGCCACAAAATGCCTCAGCAGTGAGCGCCAACATCATGAAACGAACATGGTGCTGGCAGTAATGTACCGTACTGCACTGTACTTCTGCCCTGCCAGCACATCCTGCCTTGAGAAGAGGTGATGGCCAAGGTTGTAACTGCTGCCCTGCAGCCTAATGCCCTCCACTAAGCTCCCATCCATGCTGTCAAGTGCGTTCACCTCCTGCTCCTGGGAGCGCTGCAGCAGAGCATGCACAATGCCAAAGTGTCCAGAGCCATGTTACTGAGAGGAAACTCTCCCAGACTTCTATCCCACACTGAGGATCATCAAGGAAGGCATCTGCCATTCAGAAAGGATCCGAGTACCCCTTCCCCACACCACAGCAATGCTAACAGCCGGGCAAGATGCCTTGACCCTGGGGCCACCCAGTCTTCACAGATCACTGAAAACCGGGGTTTTTCTTAGCCTGAATCCAGTCGTCCACCCTCTGCCCCACGGGCAGGCCCCACCATGCTCCTACCGAATTCACAGGCTCCCTTCTGGACCTGGGCGACAGCTGGCAGGCCGTGCTGCAGCGCCTTGCGGCTCACCGCCTTCAGCTGGCAGATGTTGTCGTAGGTCCGGCCGTCGCTGCCGCACACCTGGGCGCTCAGCCTGCACTGGCAGACGCCCTTAGCGAAGCGCTTGCCCATGGGGTAGCGGCAGTCAAGGCTGTCCCCGCAGGGCGGGTCCTCCTTGCGGCCGCACGAGTCCCCCTCGCCCGCGGCGCAGATGAGGCAGCAGCTGCAGCGGTCGGGGACGTATCCGCTGGGGCAGCTGGGGCTGGGGCACTTGGAGACATCGCAGCGGGTCGGGCACTTGGCTCGGGCGGCCGAGAGCTCCGCGGCGCCCGGGCTGCCGCTGAGGGAGAGCAGGAGCAACGGGCTCAGCAGCGACACCCGCATCCTCGGCGGGCTGCTGGCGGGGAGAGCGGCGGAGAAGGGGTGCGAGCCCGCCCGGCCCGAGGGGAGGAGGCGGGGAAGGTGCTATCGCGGTGCAGCGATGGGAAGGGAAAGCCGGGCTTTATGCACACGCGGGCGGGAAAGTGTCTTCTGCCCCGAGCAGAGCTCCTGCAGGCGGAGCGGGAAAGAGCAGAGATGAAGGAAGGAGGCTTCAGTGTAAAGCCGCAGAGTCGAGGCCAGCTCAGTCCGAGGCGCTGCTCCGCGGGACTAGCTCGCAGGGGTAAGGCGCCGAACCGTGCCCGAGCTGCCGCGCAAAGTGAGCGCCGTCCCCCAGACTGCCGCGGGAAGCTGTGAGGACGGCGCCGAGGGGAGCGGCGGGGTTATATGCGAGACGTGCCCGGGGCCGCCGCCGCCGCCTCCAGCAGCAGCCACAGGAGCTCTGCGGCGGCAACGACGGCCAGGCCCCACCCCGGCCGGGGAGGGACGGCTCCCCGCGGGCGGGCCGCCGGGCCGGGGAGGGCCTGGCTCAGGGGAGCCCTCCGTCTGGACGGGGCGGGCGGGCGGAGCCGGCTAGGCAGGCTCGCTACGGCTGGCAGAGAGCTCCCGTCAGCTAGATGGCAACGGGGCAGATGGTGCCCCTGTGGAGGTAAATCATAGCCCCGAGGGAAGAAGGGCTCGGGCTGAGCACTGGTGCGACGACCCACCCGCACCAACAGCCCAGACGTGGGCTAAAAAGAGCAAACATATAAGCGTATGTGACGAGGGCAGCTGTGACCCGTGTGAGCGTGGGGGGCAGAAAGCCGGCAGCCATTTTGTCTTCCCTCATGATTGTCTTGAATATTGTCGGCATTAATAAAGATTTTTGTCACCACTGCCACCAAAGGGTAATGGAGGTCAAGCACCTGTGGTAGTATTAAACAACAGCATCTGGCTATGAATCCCTTTTTGCAGGGATTCATGAAGCAGAGACACAGGAAACTGAGCTCCTTGTAGCCACTTTTCACACACGGCATCACAGAAAGTAATACAAGACACTTTTCAACTGTCAAAGCTGATCCACTTGTCTCCCTGCCATCATTTACTTCAACATAAGAGCTGGTAGCTTTTGAGGAAAAGAAAGTATTGCCAAAGCCTTTATTCTTTAGGTTTTCTGTTTTTTTTTTGTTTTTTTTTTTAAATCTATTACTTACCACATTCAGTAATGCTGTCAAGTGGAACAGTGTATCAAGCTCTGTTAACTAGTAACCCATGTAGTCTTCATAACATGCGGAGTAAACCTTGTCTATGCATGCCATCTTTCAGCAGCAACATTTGTTCTGAGGTACCAACCAGTCATAAATTCCAAATTAATTAATTTAGCCATGGGTTGAGCTGTCTTGGAGAAAAGCTGACTTTAGGAGAAGGACCTTTGACATAGCGCATTTGGAGACTGTACCAAACTTGGCAAATCTTACTTGCTACTTATGACACATCCAGCCTCGATTTCTCCCTGCAGTTCCCTCTTCTTCATGGAAGGGATAAAGCTAATGCAGTCATACAAAATGCTATGTCAAGCTGATGGGATCCCATGAACCAGGTTTAAGTAGGCACAAACCAGCTGCATCTGGATGTGGGGTTGTGAGAAGGGAGAAATAAGAAATGCTGTCTTCATTAAGTATCTCTTGGATGCAGGAGGCATCATCCAGAATCCCCAGTTAGTGATTTGTTGTTCCCTCTGTTATAGGGGCAGAGTTGGTACAAGACTGGCTTCTCCAAACAGCTGCAGTTTAATTTATAGCAAAAAAAAAAACAACCCAAGAATATATAACAGCTAAAGACACACATGTTCTGTGATGAGAAAATTGTGAAATTTTGCTATAGAACACATCTTGCCACTTTTTGAAAAGGTAAGATTTATTAAATAGCTTTATTTATAGAGCAATATCTAAAAGATGAAAAATGTCAGTGTTTTAATACAAACTTGCCCTTTAAGGAAACAGGAGACTAATAAAAATTAAAAGGTCTAAAACATGGATCAAAAAGAAACAAGCTCCCTGTGTTGGTAACATGAATATTTTCATTATTTATGATGACAGTTACAGGGAAGAGGTTGGGAGAAATGTTTCAAGTTACAAATAGCAGTCTGTGAGTTACTGCTGTTAGACTACAGAATTTTTCATAGTTATATTGGTATCCATATTAGCTCTTTCCGTACTCACACTTGGAGACATCAAGCAGGATATAGGAAAACAGGATGAATATGGACAGCTAAACACAGCAACCTGAACTGCAGAGTTTGTAGTTTAAGTTTGGTTTGTTAAGTTTGTAGTTAAGGCTGATGAGTTTAAGGAGTTTCAGAGAATCTTTCATAATTGACTTATCAGTCTGCATCTCATTAATTTAGGATAAAAAACAATCTGAAAGGTATTTTCTGTTGACTGTTGTCTTGTAGCCAAAATAAAACAGATGACATAATTTCTCTCAGATAAGCCTATGTATAGGACTGGGTTTTAATCATATTCTGATGGGTACTGATCAGTTTCCTGTTTATTATAAGAGATAAAACAAGAACTATAAGGGATACCTCAGTCTTTGCAACTTTTCTTTTTATTTATTCAAAATTCATTATTAAAGAAAAAACTAAGAGTGATGCAGAGAGTAAGGCTAGGAAAAATATGAAAGTCACACCAAATGTCAGGTAATTGGGAATAGGGGGTAAGAAGTTTCATGGATCAGTGCTACTTGTTGAACATCTTTCACTGTAATTTGAATTAATTCAAAATTCAAATGTGGCACTAAAAGCTATTTAAATGATAACTCATTCAGTAATAGTTCTCCATCACTTGGAAAATTGACCGTTCATGGGTTCTGAATCACCTCTGTCTGGTGGAAACGATGCTTACTGCGTAGTTGGAAGGGAGGTGCCTCAAGACAAATCCAAAGCAATGGAAATGTTACTGGTGACTCAGTGGGTATCTGTCTTCTCTTTTGAGGAACAAATTGTGGTTTTACACAAGTCCCAAACGACATTGAAGCATGTAGTTGCTGTGCCCTTAGAAGAGTATCAGGAATTAGCTCCAAAACTCATCTACTGTATTCTAAGCCTTCTTCTCCCCTTTCTCACAACAAAGTCTGTGTTGGCTTCTTATGAAGTTAATTGTCCCATTGTACCTGCCTGTTTGCATCTCCTGGTGTACATGCAGGGTAGGTTTATGGTCCCTGGTTATTCCTTCTTGTGCCTGGTGGCATATGTGTTGTTGGAACTGTGGACGCTGGTCTGTACTGTGCTGTGTAGTCCACATAGCCGTCACAGAGGAGTAGGGTGGCACATTCCACTACGTAGTGAAATGGTGGCTTAATGCTACACTGGGGATGTATATGATGCTGGTAAAAGAAATGTCATTTAAATATTACCTAAATCTAAATTTATGACCCTGAAACCATTAAAACACACGCTTAATCACTTGAGTATAAGAACATTTTCCACTCTGTCATGTCCCAATCAAAACTGGGTAATTAGGTATTAGTGATTTAAATCTCTGTGGTCTCGATTTAAATCACAAAGTAGTCTAATTCGCACACTGTCCTAAATTCTATTATTCTAATTTATCTCTGTGTATTCATAAGTCTTATAAGTTTCTTTGGAATAAATTTCTATGTAATGCAAATTTCTTATTATTGTTTCTTTAATATGGTTAAAGTTCAGAAAATTTCACTTCTGGTATAACCTCACAACACAAACTGTGTAAGTTAAAGACCACTCTGACCTTGCCATTGAGGTCTCTAAATTAGGAGCACATGTTTAATATTCATCCTCAGTTCTTCATAGGAGTATTTTGAAAAGAAATCCAAAGCACACTTTAAACCGGAGTAATAAATACTGTTTATTTATCAGATTGTCTGTATCTCATTTCCTGAACTAAACAGCTAAAGTCTGTTTGCACTCTTGACACTGCAAGTCTCAAAAGCTGATCCAAGAGAACATCTGTCAGTTTGTTTTCAAGACTGGACACTGCAGAAGAAAAGAAGAGGTGGGGGACAAATAACAATTTCACAAACACATCAGTTCAAACAAAGTGAGAACTTCCTCATCTGCCTTCATAAGCCAAGCAAGCTGTGCTTTAGGAATATGCTTTTAAGGACATTTTCTTCCTTTCCCCCCCCTCCCTAACAGTATTTGAAAGCAGGGGTCATTTTTCTTCTCTGTGTTCTGCTCAAACTGGTGCCAATAAATATTTTTTGGAAGTATTAGGGACTCCAAAAACTGTGTTCAGGAAATACTCTCAAAGTATATTGAAAGCAAATTAAGGAAAAAAAAAAAAAAAAAGAGCTTGTTCTGCTCTAACATGATACGCAGCTACTCTGAACTCATTGCATTCAGTGCAAGAGAAAAAGGTGGACTTTTGGCACAGAGACAGGATGATTTGAAGGAAATGCCACAGCCTGCTCTGTTCCTCACTCTGCTTTTAGCCAAAAGAACAGTTTGTGTTGGTATGCTTCAGGGGAGGAAATTCAGACCGTTAGTAACAGAACTGGTCATATGCTTTAAATTCAGTCACAGTCTTAACAGCCCTTTTTGTAGCTGCAGAAGGGGGAATTCTATCTCTAACTTCAAATATAAGGTCTGCAGCGAAAAGGTAAGTGTATATTTGAGCAGGTGTTTGGGAGCAACAGCCCCTCTCCGACATCCTCTTTTTATTAGAAAATACTGATTTGTAAAAATGAAAGGTATTCAGAGGAACAAAGCACGACAACTTGTGTGTTTGGAAGAACTGTTAAATGTGTGAGGGTGTGTAAAAGGGTAGATTCTGTCAAAATGTGTGTTTGAAGAGGGAAGAATGGAGAATGAAAGAGGGAAAGAAAAGACCCCTTTGCTTATCCCCTCCACAAGATCCAAGAACCAGAGCTTTGTTTTGTTTTTCTGAGTTGTGGAAGACTCAGATTCAGTTCTCTGATCTTTCTAGTCAAGAACAGGGACTTGACTTTGATGTTTTGGTGCTGTAGGTAGATATTCTATCTACTCTGGAAGATTCAGTTTTCTGATAAAAGAGTGTTAGAAGCCTTAGTTTTATGAGAAGCAAAAAGACAAGAATTACCAAACCCATCATCATATGCAGATCTTCTGCTTTGCAGCCCGCCCTTCTACAGGGGCTTCTGGAACATCCCATTAATAGGATATAGACTGTGTGAAAGGCCATTCAGCAAGAGCTAGCTACTGGGGCTGAAGCTGCAGAATGCAGCTAGCTGAAAGGCAGTAGGTAGACTAGGCAGACCTAAGGCTAAGTCATTGCTGAGCAGGATAACCAAGTTTGTAGTTCTCTAAAAATACTGCTATACTGTTCCTTACCTCCTGTTAGCTCTCCAAAGAAAGATACACCACCAACTGCTGTCAGTTCAGTATGTGTGGGGCTATCTATGAATATAGAATCTATGAAAGAAAGATAAATTTATTTCAATTCAGACCACGATTTTGTGGGTTCAGACATGTTGCCAGACCCACCGTGTGTCTGCTTAAGCTCATGGATTTCTCTGTGTGATTCGAATTTGTGGAACAAACAGTCATATGGAAATGATAGTGAGTCATAGCCATGTATTAGAGGGATAAGAAGTTTCTAAGTGAGTAGGAGAAAAACACAAGTGTAAATGGGATTTTGCTTTTCTCTGCACTGTGCTCTGCTTTAAGGTTGAACAACTGCCTGGAATCTAAAATAACTTCATCCCAGCTGAAGTGTCCCTGTGACTATACATACCCTGCAAGATCCCGGCACATGCAAAAAGAATACAGTGTGTTAAAGAAAGAGGAAAAAATTTTACAGGAATGAGTTAAAGGGAAAGAGTCACTTTTAGATGTTTTCTACTTGGCTGGGCCCAAGACATGTCACCTTAGAATGCTCTTAATGAACTGTCAGAAGCAACCCAGAAGTGCAGTTCACAGTAGAGTGAAAATAAAGTTGGCTTACAAGCCTCCAGAAGACCATAAAGTAATACTTAACAGATATTATGACTAAGAATGTACTATGTCTCACAAACCTTAATTTCATCTATAGTAGAATAATTGGGATTGTAGACTTTTTGTAGATTGTAGTATATAAGCATATACTACCATTACTAATATTTTTTATACCATCTATGATAATATTTTTCTAACCAAACAGTGAAGTGTTTCATTCAGACTCTCAAGTCTGAGTGAAACTTCATGATGTATAACTTCTTGGAATTCTGCTGTCCAAAAAGTTGTGAGTTCTTCATAGTCTAAATGAAATTATGTCAGGCATTTCCATAGGAACATATCTCGAGTTCAGCACTGTTCTTATTATAACTGCAGCTGGCTTTAAGACAAAAGAATAGAAAAGAATTGAAATTAAAAATTATTCTTTTTTAAATGGAGAGCTATTTCCAGTACATAAGATGTGATTCAATAAGGACAAGTGCAGAGTACTACACTTCAGCAGAAGTAACAGACAATCCGGTAATGAAACAGGGACTCACTGGTTCAATACAGTACCACATACAAAGCTTTCAAGCTTCTATGAAAGACCAGCAGCCTATGCATTGAGTGTGAAAAAACACACCAAACCCACCCAAACCTCTCCCCCTTGTTGAAATACATCGAACATTTGTATATCTAGCTAACCAAAAAAACCCAAAAAAAAAATCAAAAAAACCACCCCCCATATTTCCTCTTTCCTCATTGCTGGTAAGGTCTCGGTTGGAATTCTGTGCCTAGATCTGGATTTGCCGCTTCAAAATAGATGCGAATCAGTTGGAGAGAATCCACAAGAGTGCAAAAGCATTAGATGTTCAGAAATTTGCCTTAAAGCTAAGCTTTAAAGATCTGAAATTGTTTAGTCTAAAACAAAAGAAGACAGAAAAAGGACATGATAAGAGCATTCAAGTATGTAAAAGGTTGCTGAAAGAAGAGGGTAACAAACTGTTCTCTTTGTTGCCTGGGGTAGATCAAGAAGAAAAAGACTCAAAATGATGCTAGAGAACTTCAGGACTGATACTACAAAGACCTTTTTAAATACAAAGGGACTGATATTTTTAAATATACAGATAACAAAGCACTGGATCTGAGTTTTGTGGAGAGGATGTGGAATCTTTTTTTTTTTTAAGGCCTTCCTTATAAGGAAGCTTACATAGTTATTGTTCAAAAATTAGAAAGAACTGATTCTGCCTTGGGTAGGTAGGATCTTGAACTCTCTTCCTACTTTTTTTCTGATTTTGTGACTGTAATGCAGACAGTCTGACTGATTAAAAGGTATGCAATCAGATAGCAGAAGTCCTAACATTAATTTAAGAAGCTCACTCAGAATTTCAAGAGAAAAGAAAGAAAGAGGTGGATTAGAATTAGAGATGAAGAAGGATTTTGTTAAGACTATTGGAGACTAGTAGTTTCTGTATTGTGATAAAACCACAAGACAAAACCCAAATAGGAATACAGTGAGACTGAAAGTGAAAATGGTTGTACAGCTAGAGTTTGAGGTCAAGGATGATCAGAGGATAAAGTGCTGAGGGTGGGGAGATCAAAGAGAAATATATAACAGATGGAGGGTAGGGGTAAAGAAACATTTCCGCCAGATGGCATGTATTATCTCCTGGAAAGATTGGCAAGATTAGAGAATCTTGCCAAGAGGAGAATGTACTGTGAGTAGAGGTATACCAAGTGTATTTTATTAAATTCTATTCAGCAAGTAAGAAAAGACTTCATGTAAATTACTCTCTTACATGTTGAAATTTCATGCATCAATCCAACTTGCTCCCTTTGTGCTGTCATTATTGATATCACTAAGTATTAAATCTATAACTACGGATATTCTCTGAAATGATCAGACAAGATTAACCTTCTGTCTTTCATCTCTTCCCTATTTTTTCTTGTTGATACCATCCCTATTTCTGTGACTGTTTTTTTCCTTACTGGCAGAGTAACAAGATTCAGAGGCCTGCAGATTTTATGAATCTTTTTATGGTGGGTTGGCATCGTAGAAGGGTGGTGTGGATGTCACTGGATATCAGCCAATCTTTCTGTGAGATGGTCTGTATAGTGGGTGCCAAGAGGGATGAGGATTGCAAGGCTGAAACAGAATTGTAGAATTAAATACAGAAACAAACATAGAATGAATTCTACAAATCAGAGTAATAAGTTTAAATTCATGAAGAAAGCTTTATTCTACTTAATCCATGAAAGGACAACTTGTTCAATTTCAGTTGGAAAATGGTGCCTGTCTTGGGTACAGAATACGTTTTGCATCAAACTTACCTAATTAAATAATCAGTGCAAAGGAAGACTGCTGAAGAAAGGTGGGTTTAGGAGTCTTGCCAATCTCAAGTTTTCAAGCTCCTGAGCTTTTTTTAAATTATGAGTTTTAAAATTAATACTCTATATTTTGTTTCTTTGTATTGTCTTCTTTTCAGAAGCCTCGGAGCACTGGTTTTGAGATTCCTTCCATGAAATGAGAGCTAGAAAATTGGTTTAGTATGGAATGGAGACTCTCAAGTTACTGCAGTAGTTAATGTTTTAAGAAAAACACCACTTTTTCCAGATTTGCCATAAAGAATTAGAAACTTTGGGTTAAGTTAGAGGCCTAGAACATGAAGGTAATACTGAGAAATTGAAGAAAAAGACAACTTAAGCACAATGAGGAAGACTATAACACTGACTCAGATTTCCCTGTGAAAGCAGAATGACGACAGAAGAGGGGAGCTAGTAGAACTTAAGAGCCTAGGATAGGAAGGTTGATAGGATGAGTGAAACCATAAAGTAGAGAGCAGTGGATCAAGTGTGGAGAAGATAAGAACCTAAGTGTGGTCTTTCAAGGTCAGTCTAAAGGGCCAGTGTCCTCTCAGTTATGGTGACTAAACCAGATCTTTGAAGAGTAACAGGGCACTTCTGA